TCCGGCAGCTCCTCCTCCAGGTCCCTGTCCTCTGGGATCGTCACATTCTGATTGGTGGTCGCCATGAGCGATACGGGCCTGCTGTCGTCCTCCGCCTCAGCGGGTTCTTCCTTCACGTGGATGGGATGGCTGAAGGGAGACAAGGGGAGTTGACGCTTAAAGCCTGCCCTGAGGGAACACAGGGCTTTGGGGATCGGGCCTCCGGCAGCTCCTCCTCCAGGTCCCTGTCCTCTGGGATCGTCACATTCTGATTGGTGGTCGCCATGAGCGATACGGGCCTGCTGTCGTCCTCCGCCTCAGCGGGTTCTTCCTTCACGTGGATGGGATGGCTGAAGGGAGACAAGGGGAGTTGACGCTTAAAGCCTGCCCTGAGGGAACACAGGGCTTTGGGGATCGGGCCTGCGTAGCCTCCGGCAGTCCCTGCTGCAACCAAAAGCGGATACCTTACAACTATTATTCCATGGCCTGTATGAAATGAGGTGGCAGCATCCTGACCTCCCTCCTCCTCCAGCTGCCTCCCTTGCTGTCATTCGCCAGAGCTCCCCGTCCCTCCATGTTGGGGCAAAAACCCAGTAGCAGGGCTGAATGAGCTGGGGGGATACCCAGGGGCTGTCAGCCTGCAGAGCTATCAATCCCTTCACCAGCCCCACTTGCACTCAGAACTCTATGCCAGGACACTGGCTCTGGTCATTAACAGCACGTATGGGCCCAATTCAAAGCCCTACGCTGGACCCCTCCCGGAGGCAGCCTTTCCGACACCTCGTTCAGCAGCAAGGACCCTATCGATCGGCTCCCTGCTCTACCCCGTCCCCATGGCTTACAGGGTTGCTTAGAAGCTACCAAGATCTCCCCTTCCTCCAGCTTTTCATTCCCCCCCACCCTTGGCCCCTAGTCTCGGCGGGGCACCTTACCTGTACTGCTGCGGGGAGAGCCGGGGGCTGTTGCTCCCGTTGCTGTTGACCTGTTCCACGGTGCTGCTCACGTCGTCATGGCCGATGTGCAGCAGGCCACTGGTGGAGCTGGTGTTGAGCATGGTGGGGCTGTTCAGGAGGGGGAAGTTGCTCTCTGCCAGGGCCGCCTGTAAGAGAGGGGCCGATGGCAAACGACGGAGGCACCCGGGCGACAGTGGCAGCGCAGTCTTGGCCAATGACGCAGGGATTGGGGGGCGGTTTGGAGGACAGCTAGACGGGGCCACATGGAGACTGGCTGGGCCATGCCCCACCTTGGAGGCCGTCCATTAACAACTGCTCCCCAACTTACCAAGAGCCTAGAGAGGGGAGCACAAGACCCGGAGGGTCAGTGTCTCTGATGGGCAGGATGCTGGGTGGGTTAGACACATCCAGCTTATTGGTAGCCACGGAATAGGGCAGAGCCGGGCAAGATGCAGCCCGGGGGCCGGAACCAGCCCTTTGACGGCATCTGGCTACTTTCTATTTATAGCCTGCTGCCACTGAATTTCCTGGCGGTGGCTCAGGCAGCCGGATCCTATTTAAATGGCTCACGGTTGCGATGCTACCGGGGCAGGGGCCAGAGCTGTGAGCCCTTTAAACAGCTGCAGCAACCCCAGGCGGCTGCCAGGCAAGGCGGTGGTGGCGAGGCTGGGAGCCCTTTGTTGTGTTTGCAATTCAAAGCCTCTGGCCCCAGGCCACTCTGGGGGAAGGGAGGGAGGCTAGTCCTCAGCCCCGCCCCTTCTGCGCAGGCCCCGCCTCTTCCAGGGGTGGAGCCGGTTGGTGACCACCTACCAAAATGCATTAAGTGCCCCTCCTTCGCCCCATGAGAATTTCTGCCCACCCCTAGAATAGAGGCTGGGGCCCCTGGACCAGAGAGTAACCAATCAGGGGGTTCCCGTGGGAGGTAGGGCTCTCAAACCATCAGCATTAAGGAACGAGGTGAGCAAGGGGGCTAGAGTTCTGGGGCTGAAGGGCTATAGACCACTGGGGTCAGTGATTCAGATGCTTGGCCTATAGGACAACGTGTTAATAAGCCTAGATGATCCGGGTGCATTTAATAGCTGCACGCCATCACTGTCTCTCGCTACGCAAGGCTGCAGGGCCTGCTGAGCGTCTCTCTCCTGCTTCGGTTTGGGCTGCCGGTCGTGGAAGGACCGTACCTGGTAACTGGCATTAAGTGCTCCATAGCTGAGTCCCGAAATCATGTTTTTGACTAACGTCGGACTCCTGCAAACGAGAAACAAAAAGAAACGCCCCTTGGATCCCGCGGCTGCCAGTGTCAGGGCTGAGACAGGGCTCCACTGCAGAGGGCAAAGGGACAACAGGGTGGGAAATCCGTCTCCCACAACATTCAGAGGGGAAAGGGGCCATCATTTTAAAGGACCGTCCTGCAGGCCACCAACAGCATTTCTTCTACATTTTGGTCCCCTGCCCTCCCTCCGAGGTGTCTCTTTCCAACCCCTTTCTTTACCAGTATCCCTCTTTTCCATGCCTGACTTCTCATTCCCCCTTCTTGTTTCTTTATTGTCTCCTCCTCCCTTCAGTCTCTATCTTTCTCCCCTCAACCCTGCAGGCGGCTGACAGCGGCGGAAGGAGATTAGCAGTCACGCCTAAGCTGCTGTGCGCCCGTGGTGCCGGCAGCAATGCCCTCCTGCGGGTGGAGAATCTCTGCACGCGGCACAGGCCGGCACGCCCACGGGCTTCCGCTGGTGATGGGGCTCAGCACACTTCCACGCTGGTGAATGCTCCAGTCGCACATGGGCAAGTGTGAGTGTTGTGTGTACAGGCCCAGGCATGCCTGTGAACACGGTGCGGGGTTCAGCCTCGGGAGCTGGAGGCCAGCGCCTGGTTGGAGCAGCGGTTTGCAAACGTCTTTCCTTGAGACCCATTTGAAGGAAACGGCTGATGCCTGCGACCCAACTTAATTAGATCATTTGACTAGAGTGAGGGCTGTGGGGTGGGACCAGGATGGGGTTGGTGTGTGAGGGCTCCATCTGGGGGTGCAGGCTCTGAGGTGGGGCAGGATGAGGGGTTTGGTGTATAATAGGGGTTTCCAGGCTGGGGGGCAGGACGGAGGGGTTCAGGGTGTGTAGGATGCTCTGGGCTGAGGTGAGGCTGGTTTTCAGGGTGGGTGCAGGCCCCATCTGGGGGTGCAGGCTCTGGGGTGGGACGGAGATGAGGTGTCTGGAGTGGAGGAGGCGGCTTGGGGTTTGGAGAGGCTCCGGTCTGGGGCAGGGGTTGGGCCTGGGTTTTCCTCTACCAGTTCCTTGAGGGCTTCCTGCCCGTCCTGGCACCGCAGATGGCTCTGTGCCTGGAAGAGGCCAGCAGCAGGGCTGCCCAGGGTAGAGGCCGTGCAGGCCCGCCTAGGAGCTGGACCAGCTGCTGGCCGCTCCTGGGGCACAGCAAGGTCTACAGTGCCAGGACAGGGAGGAAGCCTGCGTAGCACCCCTCTGGGGTTACCTGCTCCCCCGACAGCCGGGCAACCCTGGGCCTGACATTCCTCCCCCTTAGTTTGAAAACCCCTGGGAAAGAGGCAAGCGCCGGGAGAGTCAATGCCAAAGCTCGGGTCTGGAGATCCCAAAAGTGCAAGGGTGTTTCTGATCCAGACAGGACAGGTCTGGCCCATCTTGGGCGGGTCCCTAAGTGAGGCGCGTGGTCGAGCTCGTGGGCGGCACCAGGTTTCTCTGCCGGCCAGCGAGGATCCTGCCTCCCTGGCAGAGCTCCGCACGGAGGAGGGTCCGAGGGGGCAGGAGGACAAGAAGAAACACCCACCCGGTCATCTTTGGTGGCCTTCGCTTTTGGTACTCGACTTCGTCTACCGTCCAGACGGCTCCCTTGACGTTCTCCACTCGCACAAAGCACTTGTGCAGGCTCAGGTTGTGACGCACGGCGTTCTACAGAGGGGAGAACCGAAGCGGGTGAAAGACACGCTGCAGACCCCTCCTGGCCCCACACAACACGCCCCCGCTGCCGCTGTGGTCCACTCCTCTTCCCCATCAGCCCTGCTCACCCACACCCCTTAAAGCCACCTCTTGCGCTGAGACCAGGCAAGCTCAGCAGCTTCTCGGGCACGTTAACAGCAAGGATTGCTCAGCTCTGGAAACAGCTCGTAGGGCAGACGGCTTCCCCCTATTGCCCGACCTGGACCGTCCTACCACTGTGGTTCTTAGTGCTGGGACATTTGCTATTTCGGCCTGCTGATCTGGGGGGCTCTGCGGGACAGGTGAATAGTTTGGCACTGACAGAAGCCCCCCCAAGCACCGCTTGGCCAACAGCGGGGGCTACCCCCGGGCTGCATTTCACCCCATGGGACATCACCTCCGTGGAAGCAGAGGTGGGAAGGGTTTTAGTCTTCATGGCCACGTGGGGTGTCTGGGAATATTGCTCCTTGACAGTGTGTGGGGGCAGCTCCCCACCTGCATCTGGCCTGCGCGAGGGCCCTCGGGGGGTGGTAAATTCTAGTCCCCGATGACCTCCCCACCCTAGCCCATTGTGGAGTGCCGAACGCGATGCGCTTCGCTAGCCATCTGAGACACAGAGAGTCTCTGGGCCAACGGGATTGCGGTGGGTGGGCTGCATGCTGGGGCAGACCAGTTTCCATGATTGGGGGGAGGTGGGGGGTAGAAAGAGGACAGTTGCCCCAGAGCCCAGCCATACAAAAGGGGCCACTACTGCAACGGTGGCAGTGCCCAAATTCCTGGGCCCTTTAAATCAGTGCGGCACTGCTGCACCGTGCCCCCTGGGTAGCTCTGAGGGCGGGGGGAAGCCATGCTCCAGGTGGTGCTGAGAGCTGGCAGCCCTGCCCCGGGGCCCGACAAAGCTGTTGGCTGGTGGGGAGCAGGCTGGGGGGTGGGAGGATGAGCACTCTGGCGGCGGGGGGAGTCTAAGCTCTGGGTATTTCCAGAGATGCAGGAAGGGACGTGGGTTTGGGGGTCAGTGGGGAGTGAGTGCTCCAGATTGGGGGGAGGGGGGTTTAGCGGTGGTGCAGCCCCTTTCCACGGCGGTGGCAACTCCAGCGGGTCTGGATGCCACTCCATGGCCCTGGCACACCTGGCTGGGTGGGGGCCAGGGAAGGGGCACCTCTCCCTTGACCACGGAAGTTCAGTACCGGGACCGATCCTTGCCACCACAGCAGGTCCAGAGGTTGGGGAGAGGCATCTCCCCCGGCAGCCCTGAACCCCTGCTTGGGGCTTAACAGGCAGCTCCGTGGCCATGCAGCGTAGAGGTTTCAATGCGCTTCTCCCCACACCCGAGACCCGCAGGGCAAGCACCCCCCATCAGTGCTTGGGGAGCGGCACCACACACCGAGGGACCTGCCCAGAGTCACACACTAGGGATGTAAGTGATGAGCCGACTAGTCACTTCCCTCCCCCTTTGCTGCCTCTGACAGATTTCCAGCTCACACCCCGTCCCAGACGCTGCGCCTCTGCTTTTAAAATGTATTAAGAGCCTGTCAATTCTTAATACATTTAAAAGGCTGGTGCACAGCGGAGGGAGGCAGATGGGGAGACCCAGCACGAGCCAGGACAGCTTGCGCCGGATCCCCGCTGTGCTCCAGCCTTTTAAACGTATTAAGAGATGGCAGGCTCTTAATACATTTAAAAGGCAGAGCCACAGTGGGGTTGGCTCCTGGGGCTGGGAGGTAACCCCGCTGCGACCCCCTTGCTTCTCAACTAATCGATGGAAAATCCATCGACTAGTCGGTTAGTTGCTTCAACAAAATGTAACATCCCTAAACTGAACCGGAGTCTCCTGCGTCCCAGGCAAACGCGGTCACCCCTGCCCCACCCTTCTCAGCACAGCCCTCTAGTCACATCCCGTACAGGGGCAGATGGCCGCCAGCCCTCTTAACCAAAGCGTTTGCTGCATCTTATCCCGACCAGGGAGAGGGGGAGGTGAGATGGAGGAACCCCTGCCCGACTTCTCCCCTCTCAGCCAACCCACCTGAGGAGAAAACAGCCTCTTGCCATGAGCAGACCCCCTCCCCCATCCTTTCCCCTCCCAGGGTCCAGAAACCCAATTCCTGAGAAATTCCCCCTCCCTTCCAGAGGGTACCAGGCACCCTGCTTGCACCAACCGGCGCCCAGGGTGCTCAGGCACAGCAAGGTCTACAGTGCCAGGACAGGGAGGAAGCCTGACATAGCACCCCTGCTGGTCACCTAGTGCCCGGCATTCTGAGACCCACTGCATCGCGGCCTCTAGTTTGAAAATTCCTGTTTTAAGACATTGGACCCCTTAGCAAAGTCAAAGACTCACAGCTTCCCTGGGTGGCTTCTCTACACCGGCGAGGAACGGATGGTTCTTTATCAATCTGAATCCAGATCATGAACCCAAACAGGACAACGGCTCGCCATGCTCGTATGCCCTCCTCATGTTTTTAAAGGTTAATGTTCCATCGAAAGGGACTCCATTCTCCCAGGGCGGCTGCCACTTTACTTTGTGTTGTT